CATTTTCAATTGAAATTTTCTGAATTTCAAATGGAAATCTCATTTTCAATGGAATTTTCTGAATTTGAAATGAAACATCTCATTTTCAATTGTAATTTTCCTAATTTCAAATAAAAAATCTAATTTTCTACTGTTTTTTTCTGAATTTCAAATGGAATATCTCAATTTCAATTGATATTTTCTGAATTATAATTGAAAATTCTCATTTTCAATTGTTCTTTTCTCAATTTCAAACGAAAAATCCCATTTTCAACTGTTCTTTTCTAAATCTAAAATGAAAAATCTTATTTACAATTGAGCTTTTCTGAATTACTTTTGAAAATGACACCATAATAATAAATGACATCTTTTAATAACAACACAATTTCTAAAAAAAATAATTTAAATTTATTAATACTTTAAAAAAAAATAATTCAATAAACATGCAATAGAATCATTTAGTTTTTTGTGGTTCAACATAATCTTGATAGCAATTAATGGGATCCTTGGCGGTGAATACAGTATAAGCTTTAGCTGCCCCGGAAATTCTGGAATAAAACCAAACATTAACAAATGAAAATACACAAGACAGAAAGTACTACTGTCGAAAAAAAGTACTTATAGTATATAAAAAAATGTACCTTAAAATCACCGACAATTAAGCACCACAGAAAAACAAATACCAATGGCATTACACTAAAAGCAATAAATAATTCAAATAAATTGAAAGAAGTAAATAGGCCATTTTGTAATTATTTAAATGTCTAATTAGAAAACTATAATTGTAATAAAATTTAATAAAAATTGACTAGTTAGTAGCAGGTAGCTTGTTGTTGTTGCTGTCTGATAACAAAAAAAAAAATGATTAATTAAACAGTGTTGTTCAACAAAATCTATTAACTATTGTGAATAGTATTTGAAAACTAAGCAATCTGGCACTTCAACCAAAAGTTAAAACAGAGATGTTATTTTAGTCGTCATATATAAGAATTGTTGACAACTTTTTATTTAATTTAGGTGTAAAAATGTTGCTTAAATTTTATTATTTTCATCAGCAATTGTTTAAAATTGTTTAATAAAGGTGTCTAAATACACTAAAACACTTTTTAACTAAAAATAGTTAAGATCAGATTTCATTATTTAAAAAAATCGCTAGAATTTTTAGTACTAAATTTCTTACAAAAAAATTGCTTAATTGTTATTACTGTATTCGTACCAGTTGTCAATTTTTTTGGCATTCATTAAAAAAATTTTGGATCAGACTTTTTGTCGTAGTGGTTTTTTGTTAAGGAATAATTACCAAAAAATAACTTAACAAAATGAAACTCCCCTTTGGAAAGAAACACGCTGAAATTGCCACCTCCTTGTAAGTATGAATTAGGATTCCTTAATGTATTAAGAAATGTTAAAAAGTTTATGTTTTACCCAGTGAATTATTGTTCACACAACACATTGCATAATCAATATTTTGCTAACACCATCTTCATTTACGTTTTAAGTACATATTATCATTCGGAGTATTGCTGGAACTAATTTGTGTTGTTGCTTTTATTTACAGTGTTCTTCTGCCGCTGGATTTGGTGGTGCTGCCGGTTTGACCCTCTTGTACTTCACCGACTGGAAGTTGGTATTGCAATACGTACCCTTCTATGGTTCTAAATTCGAAAAATCTGAATAGATAATGTTCATTTTTATTAGACTTCTTATTATTAAGTTAAATTTTAGTTAATCACAATAAATGTATAAGATTTAACTTAAAAAAAGATTTTTCGTTATAATATGCATAAGCATTTTCAAAAGTTTGTATGTCAAGCATTATGTCCAGACAGGTGTGAAGGTGGAAGCTAATGGTGCCAGCAGAATAAGCTAGTCTTTTTTAAAACTTACCCAAGTATCTTCGCTCCGGAGCGACCCGATTATTACACGGCCAAAGTTGGCCGACTGAACGGCAACTGTATCAACATAGTTTTTTAGCCAGTAAAGAACTATCGACCACACTCAAACTGTTACAACAACATCAGTCCTTGTAGCTTATACGAAATGGATTGGTGTTATGAAGTACTTATTCCTTCAACCAGACCAGGGTACCATAGATCAGATTACATATCAAATGTAACTTTAATTTTTTGCACAAAAAAGGTGTATTCATTCTTGAGCTACATTCAAAATTATCCTTTAATTCTAAGTTTAAGATTGTAAAAATTTGTGTTTTAGAATTATGGTACATGAAAGTTGTGTTTTCAGATTTGTTCCTAGTTTTGTAAGAACAATATTTTGCATAGAAAATATATTTCAGTTTCTAAAAAAGCATATCAATTAAAATGCTCTATAAATCCCCAAATACTTTTCTAAAATATGATACCCCTACAAAAAAACTTGCTATAAACTGGTTTCTCAAAATCGCTACAATTCAAAAAAAAAATCTCTAAACTATCAACACTGCAACAAATGACAGCACACGGTAGTGTGAAGAAAAAAAAACGAAAACAACAATAACTTTAGTCATAGTTTAGTGACAACTATTAAATAAGTAAAATATCGAAATTGCATTTTAATGTTATTTTAATTTAAATATACAAAATAATTGTTATAATAACAACTCAAGCAACAAATAATAAACTATTAATTGAAACGCAAAGAAAACAGACTAAATAACAATGTCTGAAACATACGGTAATCAATTAACCCACAAAAAAACTCTTTGTTACAAATCGTAAACTAGTTCGCAGCCAGGAGTGTATTTTATTAATTTTTTCTATGATTTTCAGATTATTTATTTAAGTTTTTAATAATTGGTAGTGCTGGCAGTGGTAAAAGTTGTTTATTGCATCATTTTATTGAAAATAAATGTAAGTAAAAGAATTTTTTATACATAAAAAAAAGTTTTTCTACAAATTTTCTGCTGCTGCAAATAATTGCGTGTTTTGTTTTTTTTTGTTTCTTTGTTGTTGTTGCTGCATACAACAACAGTAATAACTCCTATTTCCCCATAATAGTATTTGTTGTAAAAAAATTCAATGATTTTGTTGTAAATCGTCTAAGGTCAGAAGAGTGGTATTGCAATAATGAAAATTGTGTAAATTTTATTTGGGGGAATTTCTAAAATGTTGATTTAAGTTAAATATTTTGTCTTAAATTACCTAATATTGTGTTTAGATAGATTTAATATGCTAATGAGTGGGTGTTAAATTTAATATATTCAAAATAAAATTTGGCCTAAATGTTTTTAGTAAGCAGGGCTGGATATGTGTGAGGTGAGTGTAGTTTCATTCAGTAATATTGAAATTTTATAGAAATTAAAAATATTATGTAATTGGAATATTGATTTATAATGTGTACTTGGGAAGTAGGGATCTCCGAAAGTTTCAGAAAATGTCGAAGAAGCAATTTTCTGATCATTTTGTTTTTAATTTGATTTTTTTTTAAATATAACATATAATAATGCTTTTTTATAGTTAAAGATGACAGCTCTCATACCATAGGCGTTGAATTTGGATCACGTATTGTTAATGTTGGTGGTAAATCGGTAAAATTGCAAATATGGGATACTGCTGGTCAGGAACGTTTTCGTTCGGTAACACGCTCATATTATCGTGGGGCAGCTGGAGCTTTATTGGTCTATGACACAACATCACGTGACTCATTTAATGCTTTAACAAATTGGCTTAATGATGCCAGAACATTGGCAAGTCCTAACATAGTTATACTCTTAGTTGGGAATAAAAAAGATTTAGAAGAAGCCAGAGATGTTACATTTTTGGAGGCATCTACATTCGCCCAAGAAAATGGTAAGTTTATATTTACTTATGAACAGCAACAAGCTTTAAACTTTGCTATACTTGCTAGAATTAATATTCCTGGAAACAAGTGCAAAAACTGGTGAAAATGTTGAAGAGGCATTTTTAAAATGTTCCAAAACTATTTTGGCTAAAATAGAAACGGGTGAACTAGATCCGGAGCGTATAGGCAGTGGTATACAATATGGTGGGGCCGCTTTAAGAAATCTACAACAAACACGACAACGAAGTATTAATAAGCCGGATTGTGGCTGTCGCGTTTAAGTTTTCTTTTAAAACAACACTATGTTTAGTGTTTTATTTTTCTCTTATTTTATTTTTACTCCGGCATATCCTTATATTTTATCTGTGTGTATTTATAGTGTTTTTTTTTTTTAATAATTTTAAACATTACAAACAAAATCTTGAAAATCTCATCTAAGTAGTAATATAAGCACTTTTAATACCTAAAATGTCGAAATTTCTCAATTTGTATGTAAGCAAGAAAATTTATTACCTATAGTTTATAGTTTGGGTTTATTTCTTTTTAACACTCATTCCATGTTTTATGCAATTAAAACTTGCCTCCCTCCCTTAAAAAAAATTCGCCATTATATTGTTTTACTTATTTGTTTTTAAACCTATTTTCTTTTTGATTTTATTTTGTATCTTCAATTTGTGCAAAGTTGTTTAATTGGTTGGTTTTTTTTAAGGAGTGAAGAAAATGTATCGTTTATTATTATTTTTACTCTAGGCATTTCTCTTTGTATATAATAAGACCAATAAACTATAATAAAAAAAAATCTCGTTGTAGTCTGTAGAAACTGAAATATTTACATACAATTATTAAGAAGAAGAATAATAAACAATTAATGTTGCACCCAAGCCAATAAAGTGTGTTTTTTTATTTTACACTATTTATCGAATTCGAATCGATATATTCTAGGTTTGACATCTTTTATATTTTGTACTCGTTGATCCTTTCTTATTTTCTTTTGAACTATCTTCTTATGGAATGACATTGGACGATCTACGAATACACGGTTTTCTGATCTTACAACGTTGTCAGTCAATGTGCAGAAAATATCCAACAATCATGTGAACTTACAATGTTTCTTTTGCAACGTTGTCAGAAAAAGCATTACTGACAATTTATTGCTACTAGAGTTCGCCCCGCGGCCGAAATTCGACCGGAACCATTGAAGGAAAGATTGCATACTTATGCTGCAAAATAAATCCTTACTTTTATGGTTCAAATGTCTGAAAAAAATTATTCCTATTGCTATTATCAAAGTGTAAACTTGCTTTGATCAACGTATTCTTTTAGAAAATGTGATAAATTTGTTTAAATTCTGAAAGAAGTTTAAAATCTAAGTTCTAAAATTATTTATGCAACATCTTTTTCAAAAATATTCGATTTATTATCCTCTACATAAATGTTCATAAAATCTATGCAAAACTTACAATATGATATATGTATTCATTCCTTACAATATGATATTTCCCTATGTTTAACAATCTGCCAATTCCTCCAGCAATCATTCATGCCCCTTGTCGTAAACAATGTCGAACCTGCCCAGCACTATTTCTTTGTAACTTGTAATAATATTCAACCTATATCTTTATATCCCAACAAAAAAAGAAAAGACCTACGGAAGAGATGATTTTAACACAGATTATTTATAGGCGGAATGTCTCTTTTATCTGATTCCAAATTCATTACTCCTGAAGTCATTCTCAAGAATTAGTTTTATAATATATTTTTTATAGTTATTTGGAAGTGAAATTGTAATTCTTTACTTTACTGTTGTTAAGAGGAATCAGAAAAGTACAAACCCCTAAAAATATTTGCAATAGGGCTGTAACAATTGAATATTCTCAAGAGCGCACAGAATCCAAATCTATTACCATTTTTTCAAAACTGGACATAGATTTTAATAACCAAAATTCAACATATCTTCTGTGTTCTCATCTTTTGTAACTATGTATTTCCGCAGAAGGTAGACTTGAAGTAGTCCTTCAAAAGTACATTGCAAATTATGATCTAAAAAAATTTTATTCTGTAAAAGGATTTTATTCCGATCAAAAGTGGAATTATATAAAAAAAAAATATAAATTATTGTTTTTTTTTTAAGTTTTAATAAATATCTTTACCAAAATAACTCCATTTCAGATCAGAATGGGATTTTCGAACAGGGGTATATATAGTATATATTATCTCTATAAGAAATAAATAAATTTTACTGTCTTTAGTATAAAAAGTCCATCCTTCAGGTTTATGTTGTATAAACTCTCCCTTATAACACTCAATAAAGATTTCTTTCAGCTGACTTACTACTTATTTGGCTTAAATTTAAATGTATTCTAATCGAATTTAATAGTAGATATTCTATGTACTATAATAACCCGAAAAAGCAGAATATCATCAAATCCTCACTGTGCTAAACCTACGTATTAGTGATATACCGATTCATTTATTACGGTGTATCATATGCCGACATGACCAACTAAACTACCCTACTTACATATATTTTAACAGGCTTTGTTTTTGTTCATCATTAAAATCTTTAAAATCAATAAAAACTAACATTTACATACATGTATGTAGAATTGTTGTCCCACCAATGTTTTCCCAGGTCAAACATCATCATCCTCTTGTATCTTACATCATTAATATAATAATATATCATTATTACATTCAAAATTTATCACTTTACACTTTAAAAAAAAAAAAAAAAAAAACAAAATCATATTTTTGCTTTGCCCAAGCCCGTCTGTATACATATTAGTTTACAAAAATCTTATTAAAAACAACAACAAAAAATATCATTGCAAAATACAAAAATAAACCATCAACAGAGAAGTAACATGTTTTTACACTCTCCTCTCTTTATGAAAAAAACAGTGTTGTTGTTTTGCTTAATTATTTTCTTTTCTATTTTTTAATTCAAGCACATGTTTGTGTGATTGTGTATTGGTAGAAACTTTAAACGCTTATATTTCCGAAAATACTGAACCAATTTTGATCATATATAGATTCTGCAGTGAGGCTCGAGAATCTGCATTCATCAAAAAAAGAATCAAGAAAATCGGTCAAGTAATAGAGCCGGAAAATGTTTCCAATCGTTTTGGCTTTGCGTATTTATATATACATATGATGATTTTAAAATACAAACCCTTTAAAATTGTAATTTTAAATAATGACACTGTTTGGCATAAATTTATATTATATATTAAAAAAGTATTTGCGTTTTACACAATTTAATTAATGCTAACAAGTAAGAATAATATATAAGGCTGTGCCATATTTTATCTAGTTCAAAAACCCTTCACCAAAAGTATATTTTTTAATAACAATATTAATTTTAAATTTAAATTTATTTCTATATTTTTTTTTAATGTTTAGTTAAGATATGAGTAAAATCTCGTAATAAACATATTTTAGGATTGTGTGTATCTCGTACACATACATATTCATATTCCCGGACATATTGTATATCGAATGGAAGTTATTCGAAATTTCTTTCTTTTGTTATACATATTTTTTGTTTTTTTATATCGAAATTTTGATCATATCTGCAATATTTATGGACCGATTTAGCTAATTCATCAAATAGCAATATTCTTGATATTTTGTCTGATAGAATGAATGATTCAACAAGTGGATTTAGACAGATTGTATATACTTTATAGGGTTACAAAACTGTAGCATATGTGAATAATAATGTTTTATTTGCAATCGCAAAAATATACTTAATAAAGTTGATTAAATAAAAAAATACAATTAAAATTATATGCATGAGAGTTATTACTTTTAGTATAAGCAAATGCTGATCATAATGTTAGTGTCCTAGCCGATCCTTACAATATATTATTAACAAATTTTTCCATCCTTAACTTCTGCTTAATACCAATCAAATCATTCGTTTTATTATATAAATATAAAACTTTATATTATTATCAATTTTACATACAAAATAGTTAGTTAGTTAGTTCTGTTGAGCGTTCATTTTCCAGAGTCTCTGGTGGGAATTGAACCCATGACCTCCGTACGGAGTCAATCACAAAATAGTGATAAGAAAATATACTCGTTTTTTTTATTTTTTTTTAACAAAAAACGAAGATAACTGCCTTTGTTTCTACTAGAAACTTTCTACTATTTGGCGAGGTAAAAGTTATTCAAACCAATTGACCAACTTGTCACTGTGCCCAAAGTTAAAAAAGGCTCATAATTGTTTAAAGTTGAAGGAAATTTAACCCCAAAAATCTTCTCCAACTGAAGTGCTGTTTCTCAATTATAAGTAATAAAGAATTAAGGAAATTCAAACCAAAAGACCAATTGTGCTTAAAATTAGAGAAAATGTTGGAAATCTACTCGAACTGACATCAGGTTTCTCAAACATAAGTAATAACCCTTTTGCATATGGAAGCTTGGTACACGCTTTTAGATTAACCATTAAAAAAAATCTTTAAAATTAAACTAATTAGAATGTTTAGCTAGTATTTGTAAGGCTTGTTTGGCTGCGGCTTTCTTAGCTTGTTTCGCATTACAACCAAAACCATGAGTTGTAAATAATTTATCCAAACAATTGAAGACACATTCGACCATCACATCATTATTGTCTATAATAGGCGGTTTGTATTTCGGCTTGGCTTGTTTATTTTCTTCCAATTGACGCACCGGATCTATGGGTACATTGCGTGAGAACTCCTCAATTTCAAACTTCATTAGATTGTAGATAACTTGCCAGGTAGTATCTAAATTACGACAATCCAAATAAACAGCCGCTATTAGAGCTTCAACAATATCTCCCAAAGCCTTGGGAACATCAACATTTTTTGCCATATTATAGGCTTTGTTTTCACGTGGCCAGTCCCTGTGCTCAGCTTTTTCCATGTCCTCATCATCAACATAATCATCAACATCATCATCCTCACTATTGCCCTCCTCGTTATTGGAATCGTTTAAAATATCATTGAAAGGATTAATAGAATCATTATGTTCTTCCATTAAAATGCGTACTTGATCGGTGACACGATAATTTTGACTTTCCTGAAAGTCGGCAAAACTTTTGATGGCTTCGAATAAGGCTGAATTTTCGTAAAGTAAAAATAAATGAAACCTATGGCGTACACATATGCAGCCTAAAGTTATATTGTTAACTAAAGCCATACGCAAATCAGTCATTTTACCGGGATTCATATTCTGGAAGCGTTCGAAAATGTAACATGTTATCAACATATCGAGTATGGCATCACCAATAAATTCTAGTTCTTGATAGCAACCGGTTAAACGATTTGTGGGATAAGAGGGATGTGTTAAAGCCTGCAGCAAATAGGCACGATCACGGAATG